CACCAAAACTCCTAGCTTCTGATAATGTCTTAAAATCTTTTTACATTTGGGCCGGCCCGGTGGCGCACTGGATGGTGCGCCGCTTGGGAAGCGCGGCGGCGCTCCCGCCGAGGGTTCGGATCCCACATACAGACCGGCTCCCGCTCACTGGCTGAGCGAGGCACGGGAGCAACGCCGAGGCTTGCGATCCCGTTGCCGGTCCCCGGTCCGGTACGGGGGCAACACTGAGGGTTGCGATCCCTTGCTGGACACGGAAAAAAGACAAAAAAAAAAAAAAAAAAAGATGACCGGTAAGAGGATCTTAACCCTTGACTTGGTGTCGTCAGCACCACGTTCACCCAGTGAGCTAACCGGCCATCCCTATATGGGATCTGAACCCGTGGCCTTGGTGTTATCAGCACCGCATTCGCCCAAGTGAGCCATGGGCCAGCCCAGTGAGAGGTTTTTTTAGTTAAAACATTTTTCAGCTAAAAAATTAAAACACTGTTTGTGGTAAGTGCTATGAAGGAAAAAAACAGTGGCATGCTAGGGAATGAGTGATGGGATGTGGGGGTTTGTCCGGGATGTGGGTGATGGGAGGACCTATTTGAGGAGGTGACCTTTGAACCTGAAAGCCAAGAAACAGCAGCATAAAGAGACGGGGAAGTGTATCGGATGTATAGGGAAGGAACAGCCAGTTCAAGGTGGAGGGGCCCTTCTTCCTTCCTGCAGATCACTTGAAAGGCTGGGGGAATGAGACTTGGAGCTGCCCTACTGGTGAGGAACGTGCTACATTTGGAAATGTGATATAGCTCATAGGTAGACCTTATAACTCTGGGGGAAGTATGGCCATAAGGACCACTTTATGGCTCCAGACAGATTGGTTAATGTTTTGCTAGGTAATAGGAATGTTTTGCTGGGTTTAATTTGTTGGCTTCTACTTTGGTTCATTGTGAATAGGAGCTCGGATGTCATCTTTCAATGCTGGATGAGCTTCTAGCCCTATCCAGGGGATTCCCAGGCCTCTTTCCCCTGTCCTCTTCTGTGTTCATTAAATATGCACTGGATCCTCATCCATAAGGCAACACTGGAGTCTTAGCCATTGGCCTCAAAACCCTGGCTGTGGTGGAAATGTGTGGAAGGTGCCTCTTTCCTCAGGGGTTCAGTATTCATACATCCTGTGAAAAGAAAGAGAGAAGAAGTTGACAGAACTCCCTAAATGTTCTATCACGTAGTAAGAGTGGATACATAGGCAATAGAAACCATACTCCAGGTGCTTAAACATACTGAATGATGTATTTGGGTTAAGGATGGTAGAAAGTATTGATAGAGTCTTCTCTAAGGGCAATTGGGCAACACAAATCAAGAACCATAAAAATGTTTGGATCCTTTGACCCAGTAATTCCAATCCAGGGAATCTGGGCTGAGGTCATAGTTCTTTTTTTTTTTTAAAAGAGGAGAAACAAAGATGTCTTTAACAATAGTAACAGTCAAAAATGATGTAGTGCTTTAGGGTTTAAAAGTATTTTCCTATACAGTGTTTATGAGAGCTTCACAACAGTCCCCTGAAATAGAGATTGTTATCCCCACTTCACAGGTAGGACATGGAAGTTTCGAGAGATCAAGTGAGTGGCCCTGTTGCACCCTGGCAGATCCAGGCTCTGAACTCCAGTACATACAGCCTTACCTGGTGGGTTTGGTCAGAAACTCAAGGTACACTGGCAGGAGCCAAGAAAGTATGAAGAGGGAACCAAGACTGAAAACAGTTATTGATGGGCCGGCCCGTGGCTCACTCGGGAGAGTGCGGTGCTGATAACACCAAGGCCCCGG